GATTAGTCATATATACAATGAAATTCAATGAAAATCCCCTCCAGTATAAGCTTCGGATAACATGTCGCATGAGTAATATGGCGATTGTCTCAAGAATTTCCCTAGAAAAAAGAGTTGTGCGGCTAGGGCTTTTCTTTGTTCTTTTGTTGTCTCTCGTAGACAAAGAAAAATGCAAGGGTAATGTTTATATTGGTATGTATATTTCCCCCCGATGATCCATTAAATCCATTAAGTAGCAAAAAGTACAGTTGCCGCAGAAAAGAGCGAAGCACGTGTTTGGTGAGGGGAAAGTGCGATATGGCATTGACTTTTGGATCCACTACGCCACGCACTACTCACAGTCATGATCGTATTCGTTCGAGTACTACTCCCTCGTTAGCACATTCCCCTCCCCTCCCCACCCCTCTCCACTAAACCGCAGACCCCAAAAATTGTCCCATATGCCTGCGGCTGCCGCTGCTGCTTGAGTGCTCCGATGTCTGCCGCCTTTGGGCCATTATCTAATCGCAGTAGTAGTAGGTTTCCCTCTTTTTGTTGCCTCGCCAAAAGTTTATTGGCTTATAATTGCATTAGATCATTACACCTGAGCTTTGATTTCCGATTATTGCTGCGTTATTTATGGCTTTCTGTACTTTATCTACCAGATGTTGAAGAGTCTTATACATTTACTCGATTTCTAATTCAGAGAAAGTTATTTTTGGAACACTGAAAAGGTAATATTCCCTTTTCAGCGCTATATTATTATAGCTCTTTTCTTGGGGCTTGAACAAATAATTGCCTTAAGAGTTTCCATTATAATTCTCTAATCATTTGAAGGTTTTAAAATGACAGCATACTTTCTTTATTATCTATTAAATATAAGATTAGTTTTCTTAAAGATGATCTTAAATAAATTCTTTGACAATTGTCCGCTTTTTGTTGCTTGAAATTGTACAAATAATTCGATTATATTTCGGTTAAATTTCGCTTTAAATTTGCTTTATATTCGGCTTATCTTCGATGTCTCCGGTAAGTACATAAATGTTTTCCGTTTTCTCCCCAATACTCTCAAGATTATGCTTCGATTGGGGTTCGCTTAAGGTTCGCCAAAGTTTCGTTTCAACTTGGAAATTCTTCATAAGGAGCCCCCACATGTATCGCCACCTCTAATCTCCTTTCCTTCAAAACCCAAAAGTCGATTGCCAGCATTCAAATTTGTTTTTGATTTAAACTTTAAGATAACACAATGTTTAAAAATATTTATTCAAGACCAAGATGTCTTCTCCCACCCCAAGCCCACAACAAAGTGGTTCTATGCTTAGTCTCTAACTAAATAAAGATGGTTTGTTTATTTACCCGTTGCTCAAGGCAGTAGCTTTGCGGTTTTGTGACAGCCAATTTGTCAACTGTTTTCGCTGGCGCCGGCTACCCCAAGAAACCGCAGTTAAACAACAACAAAAAAACCAGCAAAAAAGAAAGCGACCTCAAAAAAGTCCCAAAATAAGAGAGCAATAATTAATAAAGCAATAAATGTTACAAAATGGCCAGCTAATGCACGTTTAGTATAAACAATTAGCAAAATATTCAGACCATGAATCAGCCCAAAGGAATATCCGCTTTTAGAAAGATACTCGTATATAATCGTAGGATATATCCAGTGACTTCTATTATTGTGAGCAGAAATTGCCTAATCTTCAGGCCAAAAATCGAAGCAAAAGATTAACCGCAAGAAACGCAAAAACGTAACTTATTTATAGGGCAACTAAATAAAAGACGACTCATCCGATTCGTACTTTGAATTTGTTTAAACAATTAGCAGGGCAATTTCCTTCATGGCAGAGACTCAAGAGATTTAGAGATCACAAGGGTTCGTTCGTTCGTTGGGATGTACATGGGGGATATATGTAGGGGGATATGGGGATGTAAATCAAATCGAAATCGTATCGAATCCAATCAAGTATACGCCTTGTGCCCCGTGTGTGTGGTGCTCGTAAAAATCAAGACTCGAGTTTGCTTTTCACAGCTTTTGAAATTAATTATGACCCGTGTCTTGTCACAGCCCCTCCCCATCCCCCTCCCCCCCCCCAGACCGTCCCTCTACTTATCCACTCTCCGCGGAACGCTCTCTGAGCGTGTTCGAGAACAGCTGTTTGGCATTTTTTAATAAACAATCGAGTCGGCATTTGGCAGTTCAGTCTGTGAGGAGCATTCGGTGGATACACAACGCACCATCGCATCGCATCGAACGTACTACGACGCTCTAGATTGTACCGTCGGCCGCCGACAAAACGGGCCTAAACGGGTGCCCCTCACATACATAATTCGGCAAAAACATAAAACAAAACAGACAACAAAAAAACGGGGAAAACTATAAAAACAATACTCATTCGGTTGTGAGTGCCTGTGTGCGTTTTCCGGGACAAACAAATCACTGAAGAATTACTCGAAAATAGCAGAACAAACATCAAAGTTTTTCATCAGTTTTGATCCGTGCGTTCCTTGAACTTTATAATATAGAATCTCTAAAGATATACATATACGTATATGTGGATTGTATTTTGAAAGAGATAAACATTAAGTGACAGGGAAATTCTCTTGTTTCTACGCTGCAAGAATTTTGTTTTCAAATTAAACAACATTCAATTTTTGGCTGCTTCGCTTTGGGCGGATCGTTCGTAAACAACAACACTTTGTGGAAACAACCAAATGAAGAGAAGAGTTTTCCTATTCCCATGAATATTAAGGTAATTACAGAAGATGATTCTTGAAGGAAATGTTTAAATATTTTATCATCTTTTAAAGTTTTATCTTAATTGAATTTTGTTGATAAGTGAAACTTGTGCCAAAGATTAAGTGCATTCCTTGGGCCATAGAATGACTCGTTAAGTGATAAATTATGGATAATCTGTTGTGTAATTTTTATCTTTAAAGTTTACCCAAGACTTTCTTTGGGGCCCACTTTGTGTTTTAGTGTATTATTAATGCAAACGGATTAAATAATTAAAGGTGCAACTAAGTGGACAACTAAAACAAAGTTGGAACACATTGTGTGGCAGGGAATCTTTGGGTACAAATGGGGTCAGTCTTTTTGGATTTTAAGCAGAATTTTCTATAATATTTCTAAGGGAAGTTCTCCTTTATAGAAGTCCATTTTTAAATGCTGGAACTGGAATAAAGTGTGACAAAATATTCATCGAAAGGGTATCTTTGGAAAAATAAATTATAAGAACTATGGATGATTTTTCATGGATTTTCTCGAGGGTTTCCATCAAATATTTTGCTCACCCTTTGAATAGTTTTCCTATTTTTGTACCCAAAGAATAGATATAGAGCTTCCCTAGCAATATTTCTGCAAAATGTGGTACAGTTTATATCATATTCTAAGAATTTTACTTAAGCAGCCGTAAAGCAATTAGTTTATGCTTGGAAAACCTTGAAAAACCCAACATTAAACGTGATTTGGTTTGTGTAATCAGAAGAAACCTTGGAAATCTTTTCATTTATTCAACAAAAGCAACAAAATGTTGTTTCAGTTCTTGGGAGAGAACTTGGGGCTGCGCGTGGCACTACGAATGGAAGGGAGCTCCAAATGGAGGGGAGATCGGCAAACCAGTTGCATTTAACCGAAAAAATACATATATGCATATAAAGCTTTCGAAAATTGTATTTATTTATTTTAGTTGTAAGAACAAACAAAAAAAAAACCGTGCCATGCAAAAACAGAAAAAAAACGAAAGCGTAAAAAACACAAATGTATTCCTAGAAAAAAAAAAACAGAAAGAGTGTGATTCCATTTCCATCGACACGTGCTCTCCCAGGGGGCTCTAGAGCCCCTATTGAACGTCGATTTGGTGCTACTTGACAACAGTCTGCTCCCCAGAACACAGTCTCTGCGATTAGTCAGCGATCCACTACTCTATATATTTTTAGTAGTTTTTGTGTGTGCTTTTTTTTTTATCTAAACGAACGTCTATATAAATATTTGTGCCCAGTGATAAGCCAGCCAGCCAGCCAGCCAGCCAGCCGACTGTTTGCTGAGCGGTTGTAAGTGATGAAATTTGACCTTAATTTCAGTTCATTCAACAAGCCATGCCACACAGGACACACATGCCGCACATGCCACACGCTTGGGCTAACTTTTGGGTGTTATCTTTGGGATTAGCATACGGTAGTCACTGGTTAACTTATAGCCCAATCATTGATTGGATACGATCCTAATCGTTCTTCCCATATGTTTTTTTGTACGTAAGGAGTGGGGGAAATACGTTTTTCCTATTGTTTTTCTCGCTAATGGAACGATCCAAGTGTTAAATGAATCTATTTATTTGTGGATGACATTTCTATTGCCCTTTCAGAGCAATTAGCGAGCGAAAAACGTGGACTCGATAACAAATAAAAAACAATAGTTGTTGAGTCTGAAAAAAGGGTTATTAGATCATTGTTCCTAGACATTGCAATGATTTCTCATGATTTTCCTTGAAGAACTAAAATGATGAAACTGTAGTTTGTCTAAAAGTGATAAAAGTTTCCCTCATTTCCAAGTTTTTTCCATTTTTCCAATGATTTTCCATGCAAATTAGGACAGAAAACATAAAATTTCTATAAAAATGTGGAAAACTATACAAATCATCCGAAATGAAATGTATTTCCTTTCCCTAATTACCTTATATTGTATAATTTATGTGGATTTCCGTTTAATTACCTCATAATTGAATTGATTTTCCACGAAAAGAGGAAAGATATTTTGGAATTAGCTGGCAGCTATTCGCTTTTCTTTGCTTTCTAATCGCGATTTCTTCAATCAAAATTTAGTTTATATTTTTTTTGGATTTATTTTTGGTATGCATTTAATTAATTTCTTTGTCTGCCAAGCGTCGCATATAAATGTTGTTTATTTTGAAGCGATTATCTTATCTAAATGCATCCCAAAAAAAAACAAAATATCTTGCATCTGTATCTAAAATATATCTAAATGAAATAGCCGTTCAATGACCTTTTATATATATTTCCATATCTTTCAGACAAAGCCAAAGGAACAAATGTGATTTGTGATAAAAGCCAATGTGAAGTCCACTGGCATTTCCCCCACCCACAAAAACAACAAAAACAAACACAAAACAGCAACAGGAACGTCACAACAACTACGTCACAGGCTCACGATACCCTGCACATCATTAAGAGTACAAATAAAACCCCAAGGATTACCCATTTAATTGAATTTCAATATGGATTTCGATCAGATTTTGGCCAAATGTGGCGATTTCAATCGCTATCAATTCATGATTCTTGCCCTTTTTGGCTTTATCAATATCATCGTATCGATGGTAGGTAATGCTTTGCTCTTTTGAAGATAACTTCTAATGATATTTGGATCTATTCTTCCAGCATTACTTTACCCAGACAGTCATTAGTTTTGTGCCAGATCATTGGTGCTATCACGATAAGTTGGTGAATATGACCTACAAGGAGATTGCCGATATCTATGCCCAGTTCGAGGAACCCTCGTGCACACGCCTGGAGGATATCAACGGCCATAATGCCACTGTCAGCCAGGAAAAGTGCGAGAGATGGATCTATAACTATGATTTTGGTTATAGATCAATGAACACAGAGGTAAGAGGGCCAATTAAGTAAAGATCTACTAAAGATCAATTTCCATGGAAATCATCTTTCAATAGACACAATTTTCACAAAAGATAACCTCTAGACATCAATTGAAGTGATGATCAGCTTTACTAAGACTAAATTAGTGTAAGATCCACTAAGTTGGAGATCCCTGGAGACCAATTGAATAAATAGAGATAAACTTCCTCATACTTAAATAAAAATCATCTTTCAAAAGAAAATCAATATTAAATAAAGATTATCTTGGCATTAAATCCATTTTCTAGGGATTATCCCATGAAGATCACAATTGAAGAAGATTAACCCATTCTAGATAATACCTATAGATATTTTTTTATAGTGCACATACCATTTTAACGATCCTTTCCCTTCGTTTTCCTTTAGTTAAATTGGGTTTGTGATTCCGCCTACAAGGCACGCATTGGCCAGTCGCTGTTCTTCATTGGATCCGTCGTGGGCACGCTCTTCTATGGCCTCCTCTCCGACAAAATAGGACGCGTCCCAGCGTTGATTCTCTCAAATTTCTGTGGCTTTGCCGGTGACTTTTCCACGATCTTCACGAAGAGTGTAGGCACCTTTACACTCTGCAGATTTATATCTGGATTGGCAGCAGACACGAACTTCTATCTCATGTACATTATAGGTAGGAATCACAGCTAAATGAATGAATGAATCAAACATGAATCTAACGTGAATCTTCCCCTGTGCAGTGCTCGAATATATACGCCCCAGCATGAGGACATTGGGTCTCAATATGGCCGTGGGTCTGTTCTACTGTATGGGTCTCGTGTTCACCCCTTGGCTGGCGGTACTCGCGGGCCATTGGCAGATCTACCTCGCCTGCACCTCGCTGCCCATCCTCCTGGTGGTGCTGTACTATTTCGTGGTGCAGGAGAGCGCCCAGTGGCTGGTGACGCGCAACGACATCGATGGGGCCATCGTGCGGCTAAAGCGCGTGGCAAAGTTCAATGGATGTCGCGTGACCCAGGCGGAGTTCGATGAGTTCCGACGCCACTGCCAGATGACTCGCGAGATGCAGGGCGGCGATGAGAAGAAGACTGCAACGCTATTGGACATGTTCCGAACGCCGCGAATGCGCAAGAATACGCTTATACTGTTCTTCAAGAGGTAGGCTATAAGATATATACCATTTGATATATCAAGGAATGATAATCCTTCTTTACAGCATGGTTATCACTCTCTGCTATGATGCCGTCTCTCGAAATGTCGAGGGCATGGGCATTTCGCCGTTCATCATGTTCTCGCTAAGTGCGTTGGCCGTGCTGCCTTCCAGTATACTCCTCGTCCTGCTGCAGGACCGCATTGGACGCAAGGGCATGGCTTCGGGCTCCCTGCTGGTGGGTGGCCTCTTCACGGCCGCCGCTGGCATAGCCATCGCGTACCAGCAGCACAACCACAATGCCATACTCCTTGCCTGCCTCACGATTGCCGCTAGGTTTGGTGTGGCCATCTCCTACGAATCGGGCTCCCAGTACGCCACGGAGCTCATTCCCACGTGTGTGAGGGGACAGGGTGTGGCCGCCGTGCATGTGGCAGGGTTTGCGGCATCCTTCCTGGCGCCCTACATCCTCTGGCTGGGAACCTTCTTCAAGGCGGCGCCATCGATCATTCTGGGAGTGCTGTTCTTTGCGGGATCCTTTGTGTGCCTTTTGCTGCCAGAGACACTGAATAGGTGAGTGGATTTAATGGAGTATTTAACAGGAATGTATCTAAATATCGTACCTTTTTTGCAGGAGCCTACCCACCACCATCGAGGAGGGCGAGGTCTTTGGCAAGGGCGAGCGCATGTTCGATTTCCCGTGCCTCCAGCACAACCACGACGACGACGAGGAGGCCGACTCGGCGCTGGAGAAGTACAAGCGTAAGCATTCGCTGATCGATGCCAAGCAAATGGAGTCCTCATCGAATGGCAAGCGCAAGCAGTCCCTCATCGATGCCGATCGCGAGGAGCAGGCCCTCAAGGATGCCAAGCACTGAAAGAGCAAGGAATGGATTGTCGTTTCATTTAGTTTTTAGTCTAGCTAAACAATTGTATTTGCCTCTAAAATCCTACTCCCCCCAACAATTGCCTACGCAAAAGCATTGTGGTGTGCTCAAAAGCCTTTTCTTATATAGAGATTTATATATATACATACTATATCTTTAATCTACAAAAAACCTCTAGCTTGTAACTTTTCTAGAACGTAGAACATTGTTTTTTCCAAAAGCTCCCATTGTGTATAAGAACGGAATCGTATAGTTAACACTTAAGCGGCACAAACATCACTTAAAATGAAACAATTTTTGAATACTTAATCCTAAGAATTTTTCATATGTAAATACATAATTGTGTAAGCCTCCTTCCCTCCCCTAACTATTCAATATTCACTTCATATTATTTTTTTTGATTTCGATCTTTAATCAAAATGGAAACAAAAGTATCGTCTAAAGAAAACTGATAATAATTATATATCTACTATATAGAGAATCAAAAAAACCTATAAAAAATCGTATAAAATATACAATGCAAAAATAATTTAAAAGAACAAAAAAATGATAGCCAGAGTTTGCTTTTGGGAAGAGTGTTTTTATTCCCGATATTCGAAATGAGTATAGGAGTATATTAGATTTGTGGTGAAAATGGATGTTGTGTAACGTCCAGAAGGAAGCTTTTCCGACCCTATTGATCAGCATCAATAGCCGAGTCTATTGAGCCATGTCTGTCTGTCCGTCCATATGGAAGAGAGTTTTCTATCATTTATTTGGGATTTGATGAATATTTCTAAGAGTTGGAAGTATAACTTATGTTTTAAAACGATAGGAGAATATGTACTTTCTTATATAGGACTAGAAAGTCTTCTTTCACGGCACATTAAACTTTTAGATAGTAATGATTCGTTGTAATGACTTTCAGGAACCTGGTAGATAAGATAAGTCCTTATGCACGACGATTCTTATGGACAGACGTAATAGCTCTTCGTAAAAGATCAAAACTTGAGACTCTAACTCTTTTAAGGATCTTCTTTAAAAATACGACAAACTTAAGACAAATAGCACTCTGGGGATCGAAAGATCTAAGATATGTCAGAATATTTTTCTGTTTTCATATCAGGATATATCATAATATTTTATTTAACATAATATATACATTATAAAACGTGAAGAAAATTAGAACATAGATTAGTAGATAGATATTTAGCAGTTCTGTTTGTGGTATATACGGGGTATAGGATATATTAGATAAGAGTGTTTTCTAAACAACGGTTATGGTTTACTATTACTATGCATCCTTCACATGAGTAATATTACCTATCAGACCATTCAGTTACGGGCGAAACCCAACATTATTTGTTGGGCTCATCATCAGGTTATTCGTTTATCATCAGATTATCAGTTTTATCAGTTGAGGAGTGTTCTCTAGGGTTCAGACTTGAGATCCGCATGCTTTGTGAGGCCATCGCGGCGCTTATAGAAGCAGGGAAAGTAAAAGCAGCTCTCGTTCATGGCAAACACCTCGCCATCGGCCAGGCTTTCGGGTAGTTTTCTAAGGGAAACATACGATTATTCCATAGTTCCGAAAGATCTCCAAGGTTCAGACTTACTTGTGCAGGGTTTCGGGTAGGGATAGACATAAAGCGGCGCCAAAGAACATCAGACAACTGATGAAGATCGATGGCAGGGGCTTGTAGTACTGCGCCAGGTAGATCACATAGAATGCCAGGGAGCTGGAGGCCAGGCCCACCACATGGATATTGGACACTGCCTGTCCCCGCACGCTGGTGGGGATGATCTCCGCCGCGTACTGGATCTCCGCGTCGTAGGAAACGGTGCTGCCAAAGCGTCCCAGAGCCACCATGCAGGCCAGCAGGATAGCATTCTCCTTGGGATCGAGGAAGGCGATGAGGAATCCCGTAACGGCAGTGATGATGCCACCCACGAAGAGTGCCCCGCAGGCCATGCCCTTGCGACCGATCCGGTTCTGCAGCAGGAGGATCGCAAAGCCCGCGGGTAGGTACACGCTGGATGTGAGGGAAAACAGCTTGAAGGGAGACGTGCCCAGACCCTCCATATTGCGGTTGATCACATCGTACGAGAGGGTTATGATGACACTAAATGGAGAACCATTGGTTTATACTTTTCCTTTGAAAATCTCCTCAAATCACTTACGATTTCAGCAGCAAAGTCAAGGTAAACCGACGAAGACGTGGGGTCCTGAACATGCCCAGGAAAGTGTCCCTCTGTTTGTTCACCTGAGCCTGTTGATTCATCTTCTCGCGGTAGTGTTTCACGAACTCATCGAAGACGGAGTCCTCCACTTGTCTGCCATTGAACTTGGCCACTCGCTTGAGGCAAGCCACCGCCTCGTCGTACTTCTTTTTGGTGAGCAGCCACTGGGCGCTCTCGCAGATGAGCAGAGGATATACCAGGACTCCCAGAGCGGGCAACGAGGCCAGCCAGAGGTAGCGACGCCAGTTGCCAATCCAGATGGCGGCCCAGGGGGAAGTCATCAGTCCAAAGCAGTAGAAAACAGCGAGGATTATATTGAGGCCGAAGGTACGGCGCTTGGGGCTCAAGTACTCGAAGACTGAGGAAAGAATCGAATGAATCCATGGATGGTTGGAGATCTCTGTGGACTCTTACCCAAAATGTACATCAGGTAGTACATGGTATCCGTGGACAAGCCAGAAACAAATCTAGAGAAGGCAAACCATGGGAGAGTGTGCACAAAGGAGGTCATAAAGTCCCCCGTGGCACCGGAAAGAGTGGCCATCAACATGGCTGGCAGTCGCCCGATGTGATCCGATAGAAAGCCAAAGGTAATGGTCCCCACCACAGAGCCCAGAAAGAAGAAAGACTGTCCTACTGCCGGTTGGTGGGACTTGTCACAGACCCACTTTAATTCCGTGGTGAGACTCTCGTAGCCACTCTCTCGCTCAAAGATCCAGTCCTGACAGATCTCCGAGGAATCTGCGGGTATGCCAGTGCCATTGATGACGCCTTGCAGGGGAGTACACGAGGAATGGGAGACATTGGAGTAGATAGAGCGTAGATCCTCGGCACTGAGACCCATGAGGTCATCATGGGAGCACCTATGGGAGAGTAGAAGTTAAAGAAGATCCAGGGTTTGTGCTTCTCTAGAGACTTACCAATGCTCTGGTGTGAAAGTAATGAGGGTTTGCGAGAAATAGTGCAAGGAACTGAGAATGTTCGTATAGCCATAGAGTATGAGTATTACAAATTGGAATCTACCAAAGTTCCCGCACTTTTCAAGCACACGATCGAAATCCATGCTTTGACTGGGGAATACAAGAACTTCACTTTGAAAAAAACACAATTACTTTTCGGACAACAGATATTCTATGGAGAGAGATGCAGCAGAGTCTGTTCTGTTCTGTTCTGTTCTGTGAGGCAAGACAGCAGCTACATTCTGTCTCGGTGTGAGGCAGTATTTTGACGCTGGGCCTCTACCGACCAGAGCCTTTTATACTTAGTATAAAGCGCACGGATTCTGATTAGGATGTGTAATTAGTAACAGCTACTGGCTAGATGGGAGATTGGCTATCTCTCTTTGCAGCTGCTGCTGTTTTGGGGTGTGTGATGTTTACCAAGAGATCAACAGACGACTCGCGAGCGAACATTCCACCATTCGAAAAGGTGAACGAACACACCCACAAAAAACCGGACCCATGAAAACCCTTGGGTATATAAAGATCACTGCCGATCAAGATGGCTTATAATGTAATATTACATCCATTCATTCACTCTTTCATTCATTCATTCATAAGGTCTCTTGGCCTTGGCTTTGTAATTTTTGGGGTGGGGTGGAGCGTGAAATGCGTCTTATGTGTCGTGTGATAGCCCCCCGCTTATCAGGCATTTAACTTGGCCGACTGCCCCCCGAAGTTCTCTGTACTTTCTCGCGATTTTCGACTGTTGTTTGTTTTGTCTTAGATTTATAATAGATTTAGCCGCTGGCATACTGTAAGTCACGCCTCAGCGTCGTTTGTTGCCTCCGAGGATTAGGCCAGCGAGAGAGATGCTGAAAATTCTTTTGTTTGTCGCCTGACATGTTTATAGGATATAGAGATCCAGAGATATAGATTATATATAGTATAGATTACAAAGTGGCTGACGGGGCGCCAACCGAAGCCTCTCGAAAATGACAACAGAGTTCATTTATCTCAAAAGAGGGAGAGAGAGAGAGAGAGAGAGAGAGAGAGAGAGAGAGGTCCATAAAAGTTCCGGAACCAGGTGCATGATATCCATATATCAAATCCCCAGGGCAGACAACTTAGGATCCCCATCTTAAGGGTGGGTATAATCGTTTTAGAGACACTATGTTACGACTGTCTGGGTTGCGGGATTAGTCTTTGTCTGTAAGATCTTTAAAAGTCATCTTTCATAAACATTTTCTAAGCTTAAAGCAAATATTTCTTGTATATATATAATTTTTTTATTTAGATAATTATTTAATCCGTTTGGTTGAGACGTTATTGGCCGCCTCCAACTGAGATTCGGTTTTGTGCTGGCTTTCTCTTCGCTGAAAGCAGGGAAAGAAGTACCATTTCTCATCCTTGGCAAACATCTCGCCTTCTTGAAGTGTCTGCGGGAGGGTCCTAAGGGAGAAGCGTAAAAAAGATATACCAACTATAGATCGAAGATCCTTAAATGAAAAACTCACTTGTGCAGAGTCTCTGGCAGCGTGAGGCACAGTGCAGCCCCAATAAAAAGCAAAACACTGATGAACAGCGATGGCAGTGGCTTGAAAATGGTACCCAGGAAAATAATATACGAGCTGAAGAACCCAAATGCATATCCCACCACGTGGATGTTGGCCACACCTCGTCCCCGGACACTCGTCGGAATGATCTCCGCCGCGTACTGGGCCTCCGCATCATAGGCCACGACAGCGCCATATCGCCCGAGACCCACCATGAAGGCCAGGATCAGGGCATACTCCGAAGGGTCGAGTGTGGCTACGAGGTAACCTGTGGCCGCTGTGATGATGGCACCCACAAAGAGCGAGGCACAGGCCATGCCCTTGCGCCCGATGATGTTCTGGAAGAAGATGATGGTGAGTCCTGCCGGAAGGTAGCAGAAGCCCGTGTAGGAGAAGAGCAGGAAGGGGGACGTGCCAACGCCCTCCACATTACGACTGAGGATATCGAAGGCCACCGTGATGATCATTCTAAGAGGAGAGTTTTCTCTGTAGAAAGTAGTACTTCTAAGAGAAAAGGGGGAATCACTCACGATTTGAGGAACAATATGATCGTGAACTTCCTCAATCGGGGCGTCCTTAGCATCCCCATAAACGTGTCCGCGGATGTGGTCTCCACTCGGTTCATCTTCTCGCGGTAGTGCTTCACGAATTCATCGAAAACGGAGTCCTCAACATGTCGGCCATTGAATTTGGCAATACGTTTCAGGCAATGGACAGCTCTGTCGAATTTGTGCTTCGTCAGCAGCCACTCGACGCTCTCAAAGAGGCAAAAGGGATACACGAGCACCCCCAAGGCGGGAAGGGAAGCAGCCCAGAGGTACAAACGCCAATTTCCCAACCAAATGGCCATCCAGGGGGAGATCATCAGGCCAAAGCAGTAGAAGACGGCCAGAATGATGTTCAGGCCAAAGGTGCGATGCTTAGGACTGAGGTACTCAAAGACTGAAACGAAGTGAATCTCTTACATATGGATTCTTGGGAGGGAGAGGGAAAGTGCTTTCCAAATACCTACCCAAAATATACATCAACACATATTGGGTGTCCGTGGAGAGGCCCGACATGAAACGAGTGGCGGAAAACCAGGGCAGAGAACTCACGAAGGACGTGAGAAAGTCTCCCAAGGCACCAGTCAGCGTGGTTATCACACAGGCTGGCAGACGTCCGATCCGATCGGCCAGATATCCAAAGAAGATCGTTCCCAGCACAGAGCCCACAAAGAAGAAAGACTGACCCACGGCCAGCTGGTAGGCATCGTCGCAGACCCACTCGAGCTGTGGGAACACAATTTCGGATGTGAGTGTCAGATCAGCAGAAAGTGTTTTCTACTTTTGGGGATTCGACTCAGATACTCGTACGAACTTCTGTGGTGATGCTCTCGTAGCCGCTTTCTTTGTCGAAATGCCACGACTGGCATCTGGACTCCCGCTGGAAGGAAAGATCCGGGTCCCAATGGATATAGCTGCAGGAATCTACCAGAGAAGTGGCATTCTCCGAGAAGTCTTCACCGGGAAGAGAGCATCTGCCAAGGGAAAGGTGTTACAGGATCTGCTTATGGATGGACCTATTTCTGGACCCACCTGTGAGCGGGCGTAAAACTGATGATTGTCTGTGAAAAGTAATGCAACGAAGACACTATATTCGTATATCCATAGAGTCCCAGGAGCAGGATCTGGTAGCGACCAAAGTTCCCACACTTTTCGAGGACACGTTCGACATCCATTGTTGGTTGCTGCTGCACCGGCGATCGCTGGCCAACGACTGATGACCTGACGGGGGATCTAACCAACTAGATATATAGATGTACCCATCTGTCTCGTGGGGGCTATATACACTGCAAATAATCGCTATATCTTTATCTTGCTACTGCTGCTACGATGATGAGAAAGTTCTTTGGTGATGAGAGAATTCCCCGACGTCCGTCTGGGAACGGCTGTGCAGTGTTTGCCGACTGGAGATTTTTCGTGGAGTGCTTCTACAGACCATAAAAGAATAAAATATTCTAGTAGTTCGCATATCTTGAAAGGTGTTTTATGTCTCAAGCCGCTGAGCAAATAGAAACAGTGGGGAAGGCTGTACAAACATTGGTCACGCGAATCACAGGCAGAATCACAGATGTTTCGCCTACCAAAACACTGAAAGGTCTATCCATATGTTTATTCAATCGATCGGTATATAATACCTTGGAATCGTTCAGTGACATCTTCTGAAGACGGCCTACAGCTACATACGCGTATAATGAAGATCAATTACCTTCATCCCAGCTTAAAATCTAATCAAAAGTAAACCGCCGAATCCGTGGAATTCGAATGGATCTTGGTGTTGTGCCCAGAGGCCAAGGTGGTGGCCGACTGAGTGCGTCGCTCCGTGAAGCTGAAGGAAAACCAGCGATCATTCTTGCCAAAGTTCTCGCCATCCTCCAGGGATGTGGGGAGCGTCCGATGCAGTGTCTCTGGCAGCAAGAGACACAGGCAGGCTCCAAGGAGCGAGATCAGGCCCAGGATGATCTCCGGCATAGGGGAAAAGATGCTCCGAGTGTACAGGATGAAGGCGCTGAAGAAGGTGAAGGCATAGCCAGCCACATGCACCGCAGCCACACCCTGTCCCCTGACACACGTGGGAATCAGTTCAGTGGCATATTGAGCCCCGGAGTTATAGGCGACTGTCACCCCAAAGCGACCCACAACCGAGAGGCTGACCAGCAGAGTGGTGGCTGTAAGAGAAGGGGGGATTATATGTGGTTATTCTTTGGGTTGCAACTCACTCTTATCTGTGGCAGGGGAAGCAAAGAGTATGCCACCCGTCACCGAGATGAATATTCCACTCAGCAGGAGCGAAATGGAGGCCATGGCCTTGCGTCCGATCCGATCTTGGAGGGCGATGATCAGCAGACAGGCCGGCAGAATGGTGGTGGCGCTCAGCGAGAACATCAGAAATGGCGAAATGCCAAGACCTTGAACGTTGCGAGAGACGGCATCATAGCAGAGGGTAATGACCATGCTAAATCGGGAGAATCCCGAACAGAAATCAAATCAGAAATCAGATATATAGATGCAGCCACTCACGATTTGAAGAAGAGAATGAGGGTGTTCCTCCTTAGACGCGGGGTCCTGAACAGATCCAGCAGATTGGGGGTGGCTTTGGTGTGCTGCTGGCTGAACTTGCACTCCTCGATGAACTCCTGGTAGCTGCTCTCGTCCACCTGCCGGCCATTGATCTTGGCCACGCGCTTCAGGCAGACCACAGCGCGGTCGTACTTCTGCTTGGAGATCAGCCACTGGATGCTCTCAGGGACGATCAGATAGAAGAAGGGCACCAACAGGAAGGGCAGCGAAGTGGCCAGGAGGAAACCCTGCCAGCTGTGCATCAGGACGGCAATCCAGGGAGCGGCCATGGACCCCAGACAATAGAAGAAACCAATGCAGAGGCTGAGACCCACTGTGCGCAAGGTGGGACGCATGTATTCCATGACTGAAAGATCCGAGACATACTGTAAAGAGGGGTCTATATGGGAAAGAGATCTTCCGCACTCACCCAGTATATACATCATCACAAAGTTGCTATCCGTGGCAAAGCCAGAGACCAAACGGAAGACACAGAAGAGCGTGAGATTGGTGCCCCAGATGGTCAGCAGATTTCCGACCATGGCAATCATATTGGCCACCACCAGAATGGGCAAACGACCCACCACATCCGCGAGGAATCCCAGCACCAGGGTGCCCACCACGGAACCCACAAAAAACATGGACTGGCCGAGGGTGAGCTTCCAGGCGTCCTCGCAGATCCAGTTCATGTCCGAGGTGAAGCTCTCGTAGCCCATGAAGAGCTCGTAGTCATAGCCGTGACAGGTACTACTGCCACTGCCATTCTGTGCCGAAGAAACGCAGCTTGACTCACTGGGAGGCTTGCTGCCAACTGGCAGACCATCCGCGCACCTAAGCGTATGATTAATATCAAGTATGCGTCATGGTGGCTGGTGTTAGGTATTGTTTTACCAATATTTGGGCACAAAACTGATGATCGTCTGGGAGTAGTAGTGCAGGGCAGACAGCATATTGATCAAACAGAAGAGCAGCAGCATCAGCAGCTGCAGGCGATTGCAGTCGCCGCATTTCTCCAGTATTTTGTCGACCTCCAGCATGGTGTGATTCCGCACTCGCACCACTTGCATTCACTTTGCCCTCCACTCTCTGCACTCTGCACTCTGCGATGAAATGGGGAAATGGGAATGGGAAATGAGACCCGTTTCTCTGTTCATCTTTCGCGCTTTTAATTACAAAAGCCAATTAGTAGCTAAGCGACAGAGCGACAGAGCAGCTGTTCTATTTCTTTCCGTCTCAGCTTCAGATTCAGATCAGAAATAATTTGGATAAATTATGAGTTTGACAGCTGAAGCCTCGTCAGAGAGATGGAAAACAGATGCGGATTTTTGTTTGCCACAGAGAACGATTTTATGAAGCCATTTTCCATAGATCATCCGTAATAATCGGCTTTGGAAAAGTGTCACAAAACTGTGTTATATATTCCCATTACATCACTATATATTTTAGTGGCACAATGGAAGGGCCCAATCATATGAAAACCAACTTCAATAATCACTTTTCAGCTTTTTGTTCATCTGTTCTTTCTCTCCATTTAAGGAATAAAAGCTATGACACTCTCTTCGCGAAAACAGAACTTACACATACGACCTGCAGTTTTCGACTGGCAGCTCTAATCTTTCGGGGCTCAGGTCTCAAAAAGGTGTCGATTGCGATAAGAAACAGACCTTCACGCACCCTGTCGTCTGCACCTGAATCTGTACAGAAGTACTAGTAGAATAATGGAATAAACTCAGTCAGTGACCGCTGCTTTATCGTTAATTCTTATGGGAGTCTGCCGCGAAATTGCAATGTCAACCGCACGGAACGAAAGTAGAGTTGGATTTGAGAGGCTCTCGATTCAGATTCAGATTCAGACAAAACAAAATAGCACAAAAGCATGCGGCACTGCTATAGCAGAGTGTATCGAATAGGGGATGCCCAGTAAGGAGATATACAGAAAGGGTGTACAGAAATCTACAATCCAGTCCGTCAAATAGATTTTTAGATTCCAGTCTTTACCAAAAGGAGACTGGAGACTGGAGACTGTTGAGAGGAGTACGTTGATAGATTCTAGTTTCCACTTATTTTGGAGCATGGCTCATGGTTTTTACTTCGATATTGAACATTCTGGTGTGGTGTTCTTTGTGGGGATAATTCTGGGAAATTTCCCTCCATAATCACCAGGTAGGTGGTAGCTTCGGTTACTCCTTTGCTCTGCTCTCAGCTGTACACATCGTTTGACCCAATAAATTATCTGCAACCAACCATCTCTTTTTCCACATATTCTACTTTTAATTAAGGGGTAGCAAAAGCAACAAAAAAGTCAGGAAGAAATGTTGGCGACACTGTCCGCTGGAACGAGGAGATAAATATAGATTTTTGGGTTCGCCGATTTGTAGCATGCGATGCAATTTGCCGACTCTTATTGTTATTATTATTGTTTTATTATGACGTCGCAGTAGGCAGCGATTGCATGTGGATAGGCCTGGCTTTTGCATTTGTAGAGTTTTCCTACCAGATATCTCCAAAGCGATGCGATGCGATGCGATGGAAAAATATTGCAACTTTTGGCTGTGAAAATGAGTGTAATCATGAAAGCAATCAGCAGTTATCGGATTATAATAATACGCTGCCACTTAATTCTCTACAAATATTAAAAGCAAACAAATCATCGCTCTGTGATATATTTTAGGCAGTATCAACAGCATTTTCTTTGGGTTTTTGTCTTCTGTGAAAGCAGGGAAAGTAAAAGAAACTTTCGTTCAAGGCGAAGCTCTCACCATCCGCAAGGTTCTCTGGAAGTTTCCTGTAGTTAAGAATAGAATGAATGAATGATATACACAGATATATTCAAGGACATACTTATCCAATGTCTCTGGCAACGTGAGGCATAAGCCAGCGCCAAAGAACATCAAGCAGCTGATGAAGATCGATGGCAGGGGCTTGTAGTATTGCGCCAGGTAGATCACATAGAATGCCACGGAGCTGGAGGCCAGACCCGCCACATGGATGTTGGACAGTGCTCTTCCCCGGACGCTGGTGGGGAGGATCTCCGCCGCGTACTGGATCTCCGCGTCGTAGGAGACGGTGGCTCCGAAGCGACCCAGGGCCACCATGATGGCCAGGAGGACGGCATTCTGCTGGGGATCAAGAAAGGCTATGAGGCAGCCCGTTGCCGTGGTGATGATTCCACCGGCAAGGAGAGCCGTACAGGCCATGCCCTTGCGTCCGATCTTGTTCTGCAGCAGGAGGATGGCCACTCCGGCGGGCAGATAGGCGATCGATGTGAAGGAGAACAGCTTGAAGGGAGACGTGCCCAAACCCTCCATGTTTCGGTTTATTACATCGCAGGAGAGCGTGATTATGACCCTGTCAACGGAACACAGTTTCTCAGAGTCTTTGGGATATATCGCAATCCAAACACTCACGACTTCAGCAGCAAAGTCAGTGTAAACCGACGCAGGCGGGGGGTCCTGAACATTCCCAGAAAAGTGTCCTCCTGGCTGTTCACCTTCTCCTCCTCGATCGTCTTCTCGCGATAGTACTTCACGAACTCATCGAAGGCGGAGTCCTCCACTTGTCTGCCATTGAACTTGGCAACTCGCTTGAGGCAGGCCACCGCCTCGTCGTACTTCTTTTTGGTGAGCAGCCACTGGGCGCTCTCGCAGATGAGCAGGGGATATACCAGGACTCCCAGAGCGGGCAACGAGGCCAGCCAGAGGTAGCGACGCCAGTTGCCAATCCAGATGGCGGCCCAGGGCGAAGTCATCAGTCCAAAGCAGTAGAAAACAGCCAGGATGATGTTGAGGCCGAAGGTACGACTTTTAGGACTTAGGTACTCAAAGACTAGAAAGGTATAGAGATGGTATAGAGATGAGTCTTTGGGTATTAAAGGTGCTGCCACTCAAGTCTTAATCGATCAATGGAACCGGGAACCCTGTTGAAAGTTAATTGAAAACCGATGATCGCACCTCCCAATAGAGATCAAGAATTGTAAGAAGGAATCCTTCTGAAAGCATATTTTATGATATATTCCCCGAAGTGTGCCTAATATTTAACCTTTACTTTTTCGTGCCCTGCGCTGCTCTGGTAACGGCCTTACCCGTTTGGGTGTTGACGCATGGATGCATCCACACTGCATCCACAATCGCGTGCATCGCGCCAGCAGCTGGACCATCGCTGGCCACAAACTGCTATGCCGCGATACCCTCCACTTACACCGCCAGAAACCAAACGGATTTATTATGTTCTGATTTATTATTTAGAATGCGAGTAGTGCCAGGAGGAGGATGAGGGCAGGCCAGTGTTAAAATTAGTTAAAGTATAGTTTCCGCAAGTTCTGCATAAGGGCACGCTCCATCTGTTGGAGCTTCTCTGGAGCTCTTCTGTTGGAGCAAATGCTGACGCTCTCACTACAATACGTTTGCCCAGCATCGGAACAGCCTATAGAAGACCACAGAAGTGATCCCCAGCAGCCCATTATAAAACAGCCAACCGAATTTCGTTAGCGGTGGCGGTGGCGGCTCACGAACCAGGTCATTTTTAATGCACTGGACAAAGTAGGGGAGCTGGGACTTGTGCAAGGCGCGGACCAGCAACAGCACCAGCACTATGCCAAGCAACAGATAGTCCCAAGAGTTATCGTCTTGCGGGTGCTGCTCTTCTTCATCATCAGTGTCGTCTAAAATCCATTCATTTGGCTCGCCCATATCGCACTCGCTGCCCGTAGTCCAGCCATCGTCTTCGTTTACTAGGTCACTAGGCTCCGACATATTGGAATTTTTTTTCCGGCTTTATGAGTGATTTAAACTATTCTGACAGCTTTCTCACAGTGTTTTCAGTATTCTAGTGTTTTCTAATCCAAAAATTCCGATACAAAGGGGAGGGAACCAGAACAGGGTAGTCTCAAACGTTCCTGCATATGAATATGGGAAGCATACGAGTATCTGCAAGGAGTACTGCAAGGGCGACACCAACACCAAAAGCCTTGGTCCTTTTTTGGGATGCCAGTCGGTGGGCCGGACCCTCCCTATCACGCTATAGCATTGTGCAGACTGTGCAGAAATGGAGGATGGCCAGCAGAGCAGGGGACCAATGATATGGAAAATCCTCGGTCTCGATCATAGGAGACTTTCAAAACTAAGTACAGTCAGACAGATAATATTGAAGTCAGAGTATAGTACCCATGTATATTTCTACAGATTCCAAAATTGACCACAATGTGTGCTAAACAATGTGATGATAGAGCAGTTTCCATTTTTTTGGGAGCATGGAACTTGATCTCGGGACCATGTTGGTTCCTTCTCTCTGTATATTTCATATCGCAACGTAAGAAACCGGAGGATGGCACGATTGTCAGTTATGAAAAATTTTGGTATGTGTTTTGTATGATTGTGTTTGTTGCTGCGATAATACACACTCTGAGTGGGGTTCTGCTGCTGTTTGGCGTGTGGAAGGTGAGTGGAGTGATTCCTTATCTTATCCTTTGCAATTTGGCTTATTGTTTCTGCAGGACTATGGAGGAGTGTTCTTAGTGGGTATGGTTATTAGCAATTTCTTGCCAATCGTGTTGGTTTTAACCGTAATTATACCAAGTAGGTATCAAGTGGCCCAATTACTTTGATATATGGTTTTTCGGTTACTTATTTCCTGTGCTTTCAGTTATACAAGTTTTTTGCGTGTTTAGAGCGCTCAATTACTGGAGATCGAACTGGCCTTAGTTCCAGCTACATATGTCTAGATCATGGAAACTATATCTTATAAATCAAAATTAATGTATAAAAGACCATAAATTATCAGTATAAATAAAGGAACCATTTCAGAACTGCTGTTCAGTTTACTGCCGTCTAAAGCGTTTCCAATGGAAATGAATGAATGAAAAAATTGTATGCGATAAATGAATAAATTTTCTATAGGATTAAGAAATTCTAAAGGGAGTAGTTATATTGCATTATCTTTAAATACTTTTAAACAAAAAAGGTCGAACGCGTAACCACAAATTAAGTTTGCAAATACACATTTACTACATATCAACTACATATTGATGTAGTTAACTAATCCCCAGAAGTATGCTACAAGATGCGAATCAAACACGAAATCAATGGGTACCGAAATAGGGAGCAACATAAAAACTTCGAACATGAAACGAACTTTCTCCGATTCACGAGGAGTCCCACTAACGATTTCTATATATATATCGGCTCGTACTCACCCAAGATGTACATCAGATAGTACATGGTATCCGTGGAGAGACCCGAAACGAATCTGGCGACTGCAAACCAGTGCAAAGTGTAGACAAAGGAGGTCATAAAGTCACCCGCCGCCCCGCACAGGGTAGCCAGCAGCAAGGAGGGCAGGCGACCAATGTGATCCGACAGGAAGCCAAAGGTCAAAGTGCCCACCACGGAGCCCATAAAGAACAAGGACTGTCCCAGAGCGGGCTGGTGGGACTTATCACAGACCCAATTCAGCTGAAAAGGAAAGGTGGAAAATGGTGATGATGATGCCCAAGTTGCAGGGCATGGATTAGTCACCTCCGTGGTGATGCTCTCGAAGCCGCTCTCCCGTATGAATATCCAATCGGTGCAGACACCATGCTCCGAGGCAATGCCCGTGCCATTAATGACATCCTCGAGGAGCGTGCAGGATGGTTGCGAGACATTCGAGTACACCGTGCGCAGCTCCTCCACACCAAAACCCGTGAGATCTTCGTGGGCACACCTTTGGAATGTAATTTGGGATACACTTTGGGCACTTCTTCATCTGTGACAGTGACACTAACCAATGCTCGGGCGTAAAGGTGATGAGAGTCTGCGAGAAATAGTGCAGCGATCCGAGAATATTCGTATAGCCATACAGCAATAGGATCACAACCTGGAATTTCCCATAGTTTCCGCACTTGTCCAGAATTGCAATAAAGTCCATGGGGTGGAATCTTTTCCGACTAGAACCGAAACTGGCCGAAATCAGTGTCCAACTGGAGTGAAGGGCCCCCAAGAGGCTACCAAATTGAGGATTTTTTGCTGCAATTTTCGTACAAGGTACGTGTGAAAAACAGCTGCCTCCACATGTGGGTCGGGTAAACACATTTCTCTCAAAGACTTGTGCATTATCTGCAGTTTCATTTCCACTGCCATTTCCCTCTGTTAACCTCCATTCGCGACATTGTTGCATTAGCCTGACATTCTTGTTGATCAATTGCTTTGATCTTCTGGCTAAAAATAGTTAAAACATATGACACAGCCACAGCCACAGCCACTGGCACGACTTTGATTCCCTGCTATACTTAGGAGTACGAGTGGCTGTCGTTGCAATGCAATGGCGAAAAACAATGCATGCAGCTGTCAATGGCTTAACCGATCGCAGATACAAATTTGCGGCCATAAATTAAGCGCACAAAACGGTAAATATACGTAGAATTGTCGCAGACACTGGCCTGTGGGAAGTGGTGAAGGGTATGGCTATGGTATATGATAGCTAGAGCAGAACATGGAGTGCACTTTAAAGCAATCAATTAGGTAATAGATACAAAATATTATCTACAGTTTCCTTCCTATAGAAATCCTTCAAGATATTTATTACCATATCCTCTCGTGCATTCACTTGTACTGTACCCCCAATCAAAGAGTATTATTAATGACATTATTTGCTTAGATATCGAGTGTTTCGGCCTGGCCTGCCTACATCAGCACGTTGACCTTTCGCTTTATTAGGCGGCTATGTTGGCAGGCAGACCCCGACCCCTGTCTTCTCTCTCCCTCTCTCTCTCTCTCTTTCCAGGCACACTCTTAATTCAATTGCGGACACTCTGACCTTTTGCGCATGCGCGCAGCGCCATCGACTGCCATTTCATATGGAGACCCCATAGCCTGTTCTTCTGGGGGCAAACTAATTACCAAAAAAAGAAACAACAAAAGCAAGTCCTAGACCGCTGCCTGTATGATAATTTAACATTTCAATTGTCGTAAAGCGAAATAAATTTTCACATAATTGCCGAAAAGTTGAGGTCCGTCCAAAGGCGGGAATCGGAATCGAAAAGCAGAAAAAAGTGAAAGGGCAAGTGGCTGTGGCTGTGGCTGTAGCTGTGGCTGTGAGTGAGGTCCCTTTAAATGGTTTAGCGGAAGAATAACCTTTCTAAGTCGACACGATAACTGCGCCAAAGTTGAAGCCAGGCACACGATTTGCCAAAGCCAGTGCCAGTGCCAGTACCGCCAGGTGGTGGCACCACCACGCAGACACAGACACCATAAACGACTCCTCGACTTGTTTGTATCTGTATCTGCGCCATGTGCATGATCGCTGAACTTAGTCTTTGGTCTCTGGTCTCTGGGTCTCTGGTTTCTGGTCTGTGGCCAGGTCTCGTCTCTCTTGATCTTAAATTAGTTTATTGCTGGCTGCGCCATGTGAAGCAGGCGACATTTGCCGCCAGTTTTGACTATAAATTGCCAGAACGCCATCCGAGTGTCTGCAGTTTCGGTTACTTCTTCTAAAGCGATTGTTCATCGTTGTCGTCGTCGTTTGGGATCCGAGAGTTAACTGTGGAGGATACCTGTGCCACACAGGACAACGTAATGCTGAAGGTTGGCTCTAGTACTGTGGATTACTCTGTGAAGACCCCCGCTAACCCCAAGCCTCTGTGTGTATCCCTCAGATATTCCTGCTGAGCGCCGTGCTCGGCATTGCCTGTGCTGGTGTCATCGGTCCCGGACCTGGTCCTGGTCCGTACTATGGCGGACATCCTGGACCCGGTCCCGCCCTGCTGCCCTACGGGGGGTATGCCCCGCATCCTGGCCCGTATGCAGCACCCAAGCCTGCGCCCGCACCAGCACCGGAGCCGTACGATCCCGAGCCCAAGTATTCCTTTGGCTATGACATCCACGATGGCTACACGGGAGATCTGAAGAGTCAGCACGAGACGCGGCATGGCGATGTGGTCAAGGGCAGCTATTCCGTAGTGGATCCCGATGGCACCAAGCGCACAGTGGACTACACAGCCGATCCGCATCACGGCTTCAACGCAGTGGTGCGAAAGGAGCCGCTGGCCTACAAGCCTGCCCCTGCCCCTGCTCCAGCTCCTCTGCATCTGGCAGGACCTGCTCACGGACCCATCCCACTCCATCTGGCTGGACCTGCGCCAGCTCCACCTCTACCGCCAGTGCCCAAGGCTCCCCTGCTATCCTATCCTCTGGCTTATAGTCATCATGCTCCAGCTCCAGCTCCAGCCCCAGCTCCAGCTCCTGTGCCCGTACCCGTGGCTGCTCCTGCACACCATTTCCACCCAGCATATCCTGCCCTAGCACACAGTCCGTACGCCCACTATCCAGCACCCGCCCCGGTGGATCCCCACGCCTACTATCATCACTAAACACAGAGACGGTGGCGGTGGCGGCGACTGTTCTGTTCTGTTCTGATCTGATCTGACTTGATTTTCCTTCTATTTCTGCTACTCCGTAACTCTCCGTGCCTCTCTCCTTTGCTTTGCTGCGTTCTTGGTGGTGTAGATTGTCTATATGTCTATAAGGTTTAACCACTAGATCTATGTACATACTATATGCTATCGTTAGTAAAAGATTCTGTAGCGATAAATAGATAAATAATCAAGAGAACAAGAGATCCATTAAAACTCCCTTCTGTTTCTTTAACGCAATTGATGTGTGTTTTATTTATTCTTGTATCGCAATTGTTTTTTTTTTCATATATGTATATGTTATATGAGATATCGTATATATGATATATGGTATGTATAATTATTCCGATTATGTGTTGTATATAAACGTCACCACCATATAGTCGTATGTATTATATGTATAAATGTAGTTCCAATGTATATATCATATCATAATATGTTTTGTTATGTTATGCATAGTACTAGAACAGATTGAAATGTGTGATACGATATCGTGACTTCAAAAAGTTGTCCCTTCTCTCCTCCTTCTCTATTTATTTTTTAGGTATACAATTTAAATACGATTATAGTCCTTAGTTTTGTAATAAACGGTATCAAAAGATAGGTACAATTGAGTCATATGCCTGCTACCCACTAAATTAATTTCGAATCAACGGAAATAGCATTTAGTCGCCGCCAAGCTCTCGGGGCTCTCTCGTTTGTCTATCTGATTGATTTGCTGATCGATGGATCTATAAGATACTTCAACTAAGGGTTTCTTTTGGGGTCTTTAGGCTGAGATACATACCATGGAAAGTGCTGTGCTCTTTAGGGGGTAGGGGCTTGCATTTGGACACAATTTAGCTAAGTATTTGCTTAGAATAAGTTACTATTTTATCAGATATTTCCATATGTTAAATAAGCGGCTAATATAGCTCACAATATACTGTTCATAATTCATAATTTCTTCGTTGATTGTTTGGCTTCCATCCCTAATCCTTCTTTCCCGGGATAATGCATAACTATATATCGTATAAATTGTTTATCATAGACAACCACTTGATAATGATTCCACTGAAGACTATTTTGGGATATGCTTGAATTGCTTTTGCTTCTGATATTTCATTACACATAATATTGTGTATCCGTATAAAAGACTTTTGGGCAAATAAACAAATATAAGTTGTATTCAAAAATGTATTCAAAATGATTAGTAGTTTTTCTTCTGGCAGCTTTTTGGCTATATTCTCAACTCTTAAATTCGTACGAGTACTCCTACAAATTGTATTTCGATCTAGATATATTTGGTATATTATTTTATCGGGTCATATATGTGGGTTTTTTCGACTAATGATTCGATTACGATAGATTAAGCATTCATTGGGTTATTATTGGGTTTTGGTTCATTTGTTTATAACTAGAAACGGAGGGTTTTCATTTATTAAAGTTTGATTGGTGATTGGTTATTGGTAGGACACTCTCTCCTTTAGGATTTGTGGGATTCGAAAATTTAGCTAACTGCATTTTAAAGATACATCATAGCTACACATCTATTCGTATTCTGTATATCTCTAGTAGGTATTATCGTATATAATTCATTCTAGATTTATAGTCTGTTTTTTCTTTTTGGGTTGGAAAATGTTTGAAACCAAATGCTTGATACATGTAAAAGAAGAAGTTCCGTTTCCTAAATCCTGTTCCATATTGTCCATATTTTCGTACTTAATTTCGTTAACTAAAAACGTGTAAATATTTCAAGAGAGATAGAAGTTCAACTAAGTATTGCTATAATATATATTTTAGAAGGTATATTTTTATATGTTGATGTTGTTTTGTGGGTTAAAATGTTACTCTCTTTTGTGGTTATACTCGTATTTGATTGGTAAATTGCGATATTTCTTTCTGAATAGACATCTAAAGTGGTATTTTTGTGGTATTTTTTAAGGTATTTTAATGGTATTTTAAAGCGGTTGCTCGTAGTTCATTATTTAAATTTTTTGTTTAGAATAATTTGACTAGTTTGCAATCAATGGAATGATTCGTTTTATGATAGGATTCTGTTAGATGTTAGAGTTAAGATTAGAAATAGAAAAAGGTGGTCCATTTGGTGATCGTATTCGTGTCAGCATATGATTTGTTTAGGTATCTAGAAATCTACACATCATCAGAAATTAAACTCAAAACAGGACAGGGGGATGTTCAATAATAAGTTTCTTTAATTAAAAACATTTTGCAGCACACACTTTCAGTTAGCACAGATACTAGATAATTAATATTAAATAATATTAAGAGAAATAATACACAAGAACTATCGACTCGACGTGGAGAATAAATAGAGTAGAATAGGAATTAAAAAATTATGAATAAAACTCTGTTGGATTGTACATTTCGAAAGGCTTATTTCATAAGCTTTTCCAAAGTGATATGGTATGGGGTTCTAAGTCGGAAATATTTGAAATTTTATACTCTTTCTTTTAACAATTTCTGATTATGCTTCAGCTATGATATATAGGTTCTTCCCTCCTTCCTTCCATCCATTATTTTTATAGATATATATATATGTAGGGGGTATAGCTTTATGGGGTATATGTATGTATCGCTTAAACCCTAATCTTTTCTGCATTATTTCCAGCTTTCAATATGTATGTATCCTCTCGATATATCGTATATATACTATATATATAGATTTCTGTTGTATCTTTTGCATAACTACTAAAAAGGATCGATCCTCAATCCTCAATCGCATGCATATTTTGTGTATAAATAGGGGACTGTATCCGTATCTTGATTGGATTGATTTCAGTTAAGTATCAAAGGGGTTTTTGCTGCTCTTAAGCTCCACACAGGTCTTCTCCGTCGTCGTTGTTGTGTTTGTGGTGGTGGTGTTGCTGCTGCTCGAAGTCTCCTCTTCATCCTCATCCTCCTGATCCTTCTGGCGGCTGCTGTTCTCCACTTCCTGTTCGGTTATGATGGTCACCAGGCCACTGGCTTTTTCTAAACAAACAAAAACACAGATATTTTGGTATAAGTAAGGTTAATCTTTAAGGACTTTCTGCTGTTCTGCTGCTGCAAAAAATAAGAAAAGACAACACTCATTGTTTTGTAGGGCATTACCGGGCACTGAGATTCTTTCAATCCATTCAACATTTTTAGGTGAGATCTGACCAAATGAGAGCATAAGAATGCAAAAAGCAAGAGAAATATATATTCCAGATTAGAAGAAATCACAATCAACAGTCAAGAAAGCACAACATCAATCACAAACAAATAAAGTTCTAGGAAACATGGAAAAAAACTCGAAAAAAATGAAGGAACCGAAACTTTAAGCAATTTCCGCACCATTCAAGTGCTGCTGCTGCTGTTGATGTTGCATCAGGCTCGAGTGCGGTGGCGGCGGCGGACGTCCGTCGTCGCCCAAATATCCCCCGGACATGTCAATGCCACCATTTCCCGTGAGAGCGCCTCCTCTCTGAGAGTGCTGCTGCTGCTGTTGTTGCTGCTGTTGCTGCTGCTGCTGTTGGTGCAACGCATTCAGTGCCCCACTGAGCTGATGCTGATGATGCTTGGCCGCCAAATGCTGCTGCAGATCGTTTTGGAGTCCTGGCAGCATGATACCCTCTGAGGGTGCGTGTATTATAGCAATCGAAAGGTTAGTCAGAGTCAGGGGGCTGTTCCTAAACCTAATTCTAGTCCTAGTAAAACTCCTTCGATAACTCACTTGAATTGTGATCGTAGTGTCCATTCTGTTGGTTCATCTTGGCCGGGGAGTCCGTGTTGAGCTGCGAGGCTGTGACCGAACGGGTTTGCAGGGTATTCGGCTTCGAGTTGAGTGCAGAGCCCGGGGCACTGGGCAGGCCGCTGCTGGTGGCACTGCTGCCGCCATTCGGCTCGTCCAAGAGCTGTCGCAGACGCTGCAACTGTGCCTCCAGCTGCCGATTGTGATCCTCGAGGATTCGCATGCGCGCCTCCAGGCGACCCTTGTGCTGGCGCAAGAGTTGGGCCTCCGCCATCATGTCCTACAAGAATAAGCGACGATTAGTGGAGATCTTAGAGGGGAGAGGAGGCTATCCCACCTGTCCCTGTTCTCCTTGGCCGCCTCCCAGTCCTCCCGACATGCTGCTGCTGCTGGAATGCTGCATGCCATTCGTGTCGTCTGGGGTGCCGCTCTGCTGTTTGGTGCACAGCTGCTGGTACTCCGCCTGCAGATTGGCATTCTCCTCCTCGAGATCCCGTATGATGGCCTCCAGCTCCTCCCGCTGCTCGGCGTCCATGGCGGCCATCACCTGGACAGGACTCTTTGGGGCACTGCTGCCATTGCTGGTGCCGGGCAGAGCCTGGCAATACTGTGCTATCAGCTGGTGCTCATCGTCGCTGTCGGGCGTCGAATTGGAGCCCGTGCCGCCGTACTCGACCTGCGCGAGCCGTGAGGCATACATCTCCAGGCGTGTGTGCATGTCGCTCTGCAGCTGGTGGGTGGTGTGCTGCGGACTGGGGGCAGGACTCTCCAGGGCATCACCTAAACGATCAGGAAAGGATGTTAGAGTATGTCTGTGGCCTGTGGCTTTGCCCATGGCTTACCCTCGAGGACACTCTGGACGGGCAGGTAGCCCACACGCGGATGCTTCTTAAAGTATTTGCGACTCTTGAATTTGTTCTTCAAAGCGCGCGTAAAGTCGCGCACATCCTCCGTGGAAGTGGTCTGCAGATAAAGGATTATAAATCAGTACAAAACCATGGAATAATCTACAAATATATCTTTACCGCTGTGCAGTATTCATGCATCGGATGCGTTAGCTTGTGGTTCTTGGCATTCCTTCCGAAGAAGAAGCACTTTTGGCACATGTCAAAGTTGAAGCACTTGAGGCAGCGATACCGGAAGCCCACGATCGGATACTCCTTGCAAATGTTGCACTTGGCCTGATGCTTGGCCGCCTCGGCGGCAGCCAGACGATGCAGCACGGGCAGCCACACCAGACTCTGGGGCTCGTGCTGCAGCCAGCCGAGGAAGTGCTGCAGTTCGATGGAGATCTCCTGATTGCCATCGATGGCCTCCTGGGAGATGCCAGCCTGTTCGAGGCACGAACGCACAGAGGGCTCAATGTTGGAGCCACCAAAGGCGGCCACTTCGCCCAGTTGTCGGGGGACCTGTAAAGATCGGGAGCACAGAAGATCGTATTACTACTCGTACTCCCTGGAGGGGGATCCACTGTCATCTCTTACCTGTATGCAGTCGTGCAGCAGGAGGC